TACAAATGCAAACCCTAAGAGATTGTTCTTGCAACATCGTGGCCCTGAGTTGTGCTCTAGTCTAGGATGTGACTGAAGGAGCTACTTACCTATGGACTCTTCTTATGTGTCATTGTAATGGATGGTGCTAGACTTGGACTATAGCTGCTATTGTGGACCAGTATATGTCTTGGGCAGGTAACTCAGTTTGCTTTCATCTGGATAATTTTGCCGCCATTTATGTTCTTGAAAGCTGGGTTTTCCATTAATAAAGTTGGGAAGAGTTGCAGAGTCGTTGTTGAAGAGAGCGAGAGAGCGAGGGAGAGAGAAAGAGAGAGAGAGAAGAAAAAAGGATGAGGAGGAGAAGCGAGGGGGGGAAAAATTGGTATTATTTCTTATCTTTTTTTAAAATAATTGAAATGTTAGCCTTGGTTTAAATAAGTTAGAATGAATAGAATTACAACCACAAATCATCATTAATACCACATTTGACAAATCGTAGAAGTTCAATACTAAACGGGAAAAAAAAATGGCTACCAATGATAAATGTCAAAAGTACCTGTTATTTCCATGTTAAGAGTGGAGATCAAGCATTTAGTTTAGCTTATTATAGCTAAATTACATCATCACGTCAGAACATCCATTTGCCTATCAATAATTCTAGGCAGCATTGAAGGATATAATATCACACCTATAATACATGCGCAAATAATTAAAAGGTTTAGACTTCTCTAAGCCATATGTGTTATTCAGGACTTACTTAGGATATTTGATAGGCATGACAACTGCTTCTTTAAGAAGACGTTTAGCAGTCTCAAGACCCTTTATGCTCTCCCAATTGACATCTTGGCTCCCGCGAATAATGTCCCTGTACACAAGCACAACAATTACATCATGACCTTTGACCCATAGTCATACAAGTGGCTTCATTTATAAAATAATGAAATCAGGATAATATAAAAAGAAAAAAAAATTACAACAGGAGATGCCCAATATCATTTTTTAAAGGAAAACTTGTCACTTATAGCCTTTTGTACAAGTGACTTGGTCAATTACTACCTTGCTAAAAATAAATTATACAAAGTCATTTTGAATTTGATACTTGTTAGAGTTTTTAGTAGTTTAATTCCAATAAATTACTTCATTGATGGCGTTCATGATGCTATCGTGTCAATCAGTTAAATGGTAGAAATACAAACAATGAAATATTTTAGAATCAACCATCGAAAATAGTTACTACATGGTATAAAATTTAAATGTATTAATTTTTAAGGTTGTAAATGACAATCTAATTTTGTAAAGGTTGTAATGAGCAAAGCAGCCTATAATGCTAAAACAATTTTATTTTTTAAAAGACATTAAGCTACACACTTTTTTTTATTTTTAGCTTTTGTCAAAATTTATTTATTTTTTGCTATTATACATGCTGCTTCCATTGTATATGAGACAGAAAAGTGTCACAGTATTTTCATTATTACGACACTAAAGTCGAGTTATATAAATGAACACCTGATTCTTTGTACAAAAATTTGCATATATATGTAAAATTAAATAAAAAAAAAAAATAGAGAGCATAAAAGTTTATAAACTGAAAATTGAATGCCACCTGCATAGACTTTCTGCTAGGTTACGTGTTTCTGCATCTTCAAATGGAGGAAGCATGGGCTTCTGCCTGGGAAGCAAGAAAAAGAAAAACGGAAAGCACATTGAGCAAAAAGAAAATATGAAATCAATAAAGCGCAATTACATTTCTGGATGTCAATAGACATAACACTTTAATAAAACACAAGTTGAATGGACGTGATTGTTTAAAGAATTCAGACTATTAAAATCATGTAACACATATGGGTTGATAATGGATCAATAAAAATAGCCTAAAGAAACCTCAGATAATAACAGTAGCTTCGAAATGAGGAAATTTGAGATGAGAAAATTTAAACTGGGTATTCAGGGCCTCAGAGGAACTCAAAATTAAAATTAAATTTAACAAGTTCATTAATTAGTTACGTATATTCTCTTTGTTGAAGGGGGTACATAATTTTAAACCTCAGATAAGGACAGGTGTAGCTTCAAACTGAGAACATTTGAGACATGGGAATAAAATTGGGTATTCAAAGAAATTGGCAACAAGCACAATATTAAGTGGTTTATTATTAATCTTGTATTTTCTTTTTATTGAAGGGCATGCGTATTTAACTAACAAACTAGTTTAACAAACAAGTACACAATTCTTGGCATAGTTTGCATCTGCAAAGGGGAGCAATACACACACTGTGTCCCTTAATTCTTTAAACCCACGACCGCAAAGTGATACCCAACTTGAGACTAAAGAACAATCTCTACCATGGCAAGAGTGCACAAGTAGATTTGAATTCAATAATGCAAGTAAATGATCCCTAACTCAAGTCATGAGGAGAATCCAAGACCAAGAGCGAATAACTATCATTACCCATTTCATCAACCACATAAGCATAGTAATAACATTTGTTAAATGTGACTAATTTAATGAAGTTTGGGTCCAAATTTTGTTCACGCATCTTCTTCTAAATTTTTGTTTCTCTATATATTTACTTACATCTTTGTTAGTGACATAGTTTAAATTATAGCTTAAGTTTAGACAAAATAGATATGATGAATATCATGACTAGAATAATTTGCTACAACTATATAACTGATAAAAGGAACCATCAGAATATGTCAAAGCATCGCTACATGAACAGCAATTACAGCACTAAAATAGAGAGATGTGTAGCACTTGGGCAGTGAATTAGCAAGATTTCTAGCATTATGATGTGGTATGAGTATGGGTCACTGTTAGCAATGCCAAACAGTACTTCATCCTCTAAGCAATAAGGGCATCGTTCGAACTCTTAGAAGTAGACAAGAACCCTTAATTCATAACAATTTTGCCTAATCGTCTGGTACATCTAAGACGAAATATAGAGTTATAATCAAACAAGTAAGCAGAAAATCTTACACAGTATTATCCTGAGCACCATTTGCCGAAACTCCATTTGAGGGTGTCCCATTACTAGCCTATCAATATGAAACAAAATCAACTTTATCAAACATCTAAGAAGAACCACAAATTGTTAGGGATAATATACTCATTTTGTGAAGATATCAATCAACCGTGGCTCTTGAAATCGTTATAGATACCCACCTTATCAATCAATGTAAACACCAAACATTATCACAAACAAAGATTATAGATACTAATACAATGTACATAATTTCAAACAAGAATATGACCTGATTCCTATACTGCTCGTAAACGGCAAGCTCGCGCTTTCTCCCACCATTCTGAGTCGTAGTCCCTCCATTCGCTGCTGTATTCCCGTTGCTCTGACTAGCCATTGCAGCATCCTCCTCCTCCGGCTTCGGCTCTCTCTTCCTTCCAAACTTCGCATCATAAAAAAACTTAAAATCCTAGTGAAAAAAACCCCAAGTTCCCAAAAATTCAAGCACCAACCAACCAAACAACCAATATCCAAGGCAACTACATCAGTCAAACTTTGCCATTTTTTTCCAAGAGTCAAACAACAAACAATTGATGATGATCATAACAAATACAAATAAAAATACAAACATCATATTAAAACCCCACATTTTCACTAACATCAAAGTTCCAAAATCACAACCAAAATCAATGAAAAGAAAAGTCAAAATCAAAGCAATTGTTGAGAAATTAAACCCAGATTAAAATTAAAATTACAGAAATGAAATTCAAGTAGAAGTAACCTGAAAACTCCAGCGAGTGAGAAAGGGTTCGTCAGACATGGTAAAGCTGAAGAGAGAGAATGAGAGGATCGGCAGAGATGGAGTAGAGCTCTCCGCTTTCTCCTTTCAGCTGTTCAACCGCAGATTCAAACTCTGGAATTATCGACCACTAACACTGCATTAGTACTACTAATCTCAGTATTATTGTGTAGCCACAAAAAATATATGTACCACAATAATTGTGATTTTCTGATTTTTTCCAGTGGTCTATTAAGATTTTTTCACGAAAATTACAAAAGTTGTAGATTACTTAAAATTAATGATTAGGAATACAAATACGTACGTGGGGTTAGAAAGATAGAGGGAAAGAAAAGATAGTTGGTAATTATTGAAGAGAGGGAAATATAAATTGTTGGCGAAATGTTGTCAAAAGTACAAAAAAAAATGATGACAACTCATCAAAAAGAGTGTAATATTGTCAAAAAATACACTCTTTAAATAGAAATAGGCCCATAATTTTGGCTACCCAAAAATGGAATATAGACCGTTAAATAACAGAGAGAGGGAGTACTACGTAATTATTCTAACGGGAGATAACGTATATTTTAGTTCACCGCAATACGATACACAATACAAATTGGACACGAATTAATAGATTTGTGTCATCTGTTGTAACACCCTAGAAATTCCTTTCTTTTAAAATACCTGTTTTGCCCTTTTAAAATACGAAATAGGAAATTCTAAGACATTACCGCCACCGTGAAAACGGCTAAGACAAATATCAAAGACACACAGCAGAAGACTAATTTCAAACCATTCAAAACAAGTCAACTTAAAAAGTCAAATCAAACGAAAGTAAAGTCAAACAAAGTCCACCTATAACTTGGAACCATTGTAAGCCCTTAATAAAACCGAGATAAAATATTTAAAAGCCTTTGCGTTAGTCTCACAAGCAAAACATATAATAATTAAAGCAACAAATCACATCACATTCTCATGAAAACTAAATATGATTCGCTCTTCACTCATGCCCATCATGAATATGCTTCCACACCTGAAAAGCTCCTCTTTGCTTTGTCCCCACTACTCGCCATTAGAAATGGGTTGTCGTAGGGCCAAGATAAAGACAAGGTCAAACAAACACACAACACACAATCAGCAATGCTGAGTACATAAGCGTAATCAGTATACACTAACATGCTTTAATCCTATCAACACACAACTTACCTTGCTGCACCTGTTTTTAAGCACACAACACAACCAACAAAGAAATGGATAAATAAATTGCTTATTTAATTTGATTACGCATCAAACTGGTTTCCTACCAATTCTCTGACCCAAATAAATTGAGGTAAACTACACCGGGAGCTAATCGAGTAGGCAAATGCCACATGAAGTGATTGGACGTCCTGCACATAAAATAAATAAAAGGAAAATACAGCGTCATGTACTCCCAGTAGAAGTCATGGTTAAATATAAAACCCCATAACTCCCCCCATATGTTCATACTTGAGATATATACGTTCCAAGAGTTTTGGTGCGTAATTTCTTTCACTTTACACTGTTTACATATTTTTAGGCTTGGTGACGACTCTTAAACCATAACACAATCAATCATAATAAATCATTCAAGCAATCAAACATACCAACTTAATTCTTGAATAATTAGTGACCACATAATTTAATGTTGAATCCTTTTTAAACTACCTTGGTGTTAAATAACACCTTAAGTGCATAAAGCACTGCAAATCTTATCCCTCGGTGTTTAGAACACCTTAAGTGCACATAGGCACCGCACAACATTTTATTCCTGTGTACTAAGACACTTGATAGCTCAATCCTTATGCTTAAAACATCAATAAAAATTATAGGAAATACAATAAAATTCCCTTTTTATATTCCAAACCATATTAAACATTTAGTTTAATCAAACATGCTCTCAATCATGCCAATATTAAAAATTTTAGTTCATATTCAACATGCCAATATAATTAATTCCAATCATTAATCCATCATAAATAATTCATACATCATAAATCAATCACCAGCATCAATCCAATCACAAATTCTAATTCACACCTAACATGATACTACCACGGAATTAATTATACAAAGCCTAGCACGCTTCTATACACTTAAATAATTACCAAGTACGCGAACGTATCTTGAATATGATCTCAAAATCGTCACGACTACACAAAATCACTCACTTGGAAATCTCCTACAACCCAAAATTATAAAGAGACATTAATACCTATTCAATATAAATTTCTAGCAATATATCCACTCTTAAATCACTTATAAACCCTCTAAAACAAGATGAAAATTAATTTAAAACCCTTAATTTTATTCCCAATTAATGGGTAATTAAAAATCCTTTCAAGAATTATAATTCTAACCTTTATATAAAAATTCCAGCTTTATAATAACATGTAAAATTGTTGTAATTATGTTTACAAACATCTAATTTAATAGTTTCAATCACCTACAATCAATTTCCATCAACACACATTAATTTAGAAACCTAGGGTTTTCAATTTGGGGCTTTTTTTTTTTAATTCAAAACTAAATCCTATAATTATATACATAATAATTATAATCAAACATCATAAAAATCATCACACAACCCAAAAATTATAATTGAATCAAGGCTAGAATTATTTTAAAACAAATGAAGAGTTTTATTATTATTATTATTATTATTTTTTTTGAGCAAAGCAGAGCAGTTATTATTATTTAAAACACACGCACAACAAGGGGGAGGGGAGAGTGGTCGGCGCCACCTCCCTGCTGCAGCTGCTGCTGGCCCTATGCTGGTGGCGGCCGGTTGTGGTGGTGGTGTGTGTGTGTGGTGATGTGTGTAAATTAAAAGGGGTGGAGGGGGAAATTAAAGGAGAGAGAAAATAAGATGAGAGAAAGAGAGTTTACCTTTGGGTATTCTCCACCTTGGGCAAGATCTAATTTGCTCATAAGATGGGTATTTATACCCGCTCTCTAGATCTCTCCTAAGCTTAAATTCTCTTCTACCCTTAATGACCCCTTCTCCTATTCAAACTAGTCCTTTGACTTTCTTTAAATACCATTGACTTTAAATTTCCTTTTATAAAATAATATGCCCCAAAGTTTCTAAATAATAAAATAAATATTTCCAAAACAATTAAATAAATAAAAATGGACCTATAATTAAAATAATTCTCTTTAAATTAATAAAATACCATAAATAATTCATTTTAAATTATCTAAATGCTTCATAAAATAATGATTTAAATTAAAATACGTATAAAAATACGGGGTATTACTGTCTACCCCCGTTAAAAGAAGTTTCGTCCCGAAACTTGGGTAACGAAAATCAAACTTTTTCCTCACTTTGTATAATATTGATGTACTCTTTTGACATACTTTTACCTTTAATGTCTCCTTGAAATGAAAATTACTCGAAATAACCGTTAAAAATGTGCAAAAAGCACAAAAAATAACTAAAAATATAGGGAAAAAACGCGAAATTTTACCGCATTCTACCCCCTTTAAAGAAAACGAGTTACGTCCCCGTAACTCCACATACCTTAAACAACTCATGATATTTCTCTTTTATCTCATATTCAGCTTCCCAAGTTGCTTCCTCATATTCTTGGTTAGACAATAGCACTTTAACAATTTTAACTTCCTTGTTGCGTGTACTACGCACTATACTGTCAAGGATCTTGACAGGTCTTTCTTCATAAGTTAAGCTTTGATCTAACTCAATTGTTTCAGGTTGTAGCACATGTGACTTGTCAGGTATATACCTTCTTAACTGAGATACATGAAATACATCATGCACTTTACTTAGTTCCATAGGTAAGGCTAACCTATAAGCTACCTTGCCTACTCTCTGTAATATTTCATATGGGCCAATATATTTTGGGCTAAGCTTTCCTTTCTTCCCAAATCTCATGACACCTTTCATCGGTGACACCTTCAATAATACTTTGTCACCAACCTCAAACTCTTCCTCTCTACGCTTCCATCTGCGTAGCTCTTTTGGCGATCTTGCGCCGCTTGAATCTCTTTTACTTGCTTATTGTATCCTTAATCATTTGAGGCCCTAAGATCATTGTTTCACTTATGTCGTTCCAACACACAGGACTGCGACACTTCCTTTCATATAATGCCTCAAATGGAGCCATGCCAATGCTTGCATGGTAACTATTGTTATAAGAAAATTCAATGAAGTCCAAGCTATCTTCCCATCCCTCTTGGAAGTCAATGACACAAACTCTTAACATATCTTCCAAGGTTTGAATAATCCTCTCAGTTTGTCCATCTGTACGTGGCAGGATGAAATGATGTACTCATCTTTAGTGTTGTACCAAAGTTTTCTTGAACACTCTTCCAGAACTTCGAAAGAAACCTAGAATCTCTATCAGACACAATATCCTTTAGAACTTCATGTAACCTCACAAAATTTTTAATGTAAGCTTTGCAAGTTGTTACATCTTCCAGGTCTCTTTTATTGGTATGAACACCGCAGATTTAGTCAGTCTATCCACCACGACCCAAATGGTATCATTCCTATTCTTTGACTTTGGGAGGCAAGTCACAAAGTCCATTGAAATACCATCCTACTTCCATCCAGGAATTTCCGATGATTGCACGGTTCCTTGCAGTCTCTTGTGCTCTATCTTCACTTTTTGGCAAGTTAGACACTTTGCTACAAATTCCGCAACTTCATTCTTCATTCTAGGCCACCAATACATCTTTTTCAAGTCTTTGTATAGCTTGTCCTCTCCTGGGTGTACCGAGTATGGTGTATTGTGACCTTCTTCCATCAATTTTCTCTTTACTTCTTCACACTTTTGTGGTACAAACCATCGACCTTTGTATCTTAAACTTCCATCTTCATGAATTTTGAAATCTGTAGCCTTCCCTTGCTTTATTTTCTCACGAATCCTATCCAACTTAACATCTCCTGCTTGGTTCTCCCTTATCCCATCAAATATTGTTGGTTGAATACTCATATCCACAAGTATACTCGTTGGTACTCCCCATTCTACCACTTCTAAATTCATTTTCCTCATTTCCCTACACAACTCATCAACCACTATTAGAGTGTTCAGTCTATGACTGGTCTTACGACTTAGAGCGTTTGCAACTACATTTGCTTTCCCTTCATGGTATTGTATGTCCAAGTCGTAGTCCGTTGTAAATTCTAACCATTTCTTTTGGCGTGAGTTTAGATCTTTTTGGGTGAAAATGTACTTCAAACTTTTATGGTCTGTGTAAATCCTACATTTTACCCCATACAAGTAATGCCTCCAAATCTTTAGTGCAAAAATGATTGCAGCTAATTCTAAGTCATGAGTAGGGTAGTTTACTTCATGAGGTTTCAATTGTCTTGATGCATATGCAATCACCTTCCCATTTTGCATAAGCACACATCCCAGACCATTCTTGGACGCGTCACTATATACATCATAGATCCCACTATCATTTGGCAGTGTAAGCACCGGTGCTGTAATTAACTTTTGTTTCAAGAGCTGGAAGGCTTCCTCACACTTCTCATCGCACTCAAATTTCTTGTCCTTATTCATTAGAGAGGTCATAGGCTTATCAATCTTAGAAAAGTCCTTCACAAAACGCCTATAATACCCTGCTAAACCTAAGAAACTCCTAACGTCAGACACCGTCTTTGGCTTAGGCCATCCTTTCACCGCCTCAATCATTGCTAGATCTACTTCTACCCTATCCTTGGACACAAAGTGACCAAGGAAATGCTACTTTCTTCGACCAAAACTCACATTTGGAAAACTTCGCATAAAGCTTGTTCTCCCTTAATGTTTGTAGAATTGTTCTCAAATGATCCACATGTTCCTCCTTATTCTTTTAATACACCAGAATATCATCTATGAACACCTCAACAAACTTGTCCATAAATGGATGGAACACCCTATTCATCAAGTCCATAAAGATTGCTGGAGAATTCATTAACCCAAATGGCATTACTGTGAACTCATAATGCCCGTACCTTATTCTAAATGCAGTTTTGGGAATATATCCGTCTGCGATCCTTAACTGATGGTATCCAGACCTTAAATCAATCTTTGAAAACACGAATGCGCCCCTCAACTGGTCAAATAGGTCATCAATTCTTGGTAATGGGTACTTGTTCTTTATGATGACCTTATTTAACTCCCTATAATCAATACATAACCTCATACTTCCATCGTTCTTCTTGACAAATAACACTGGTGCACCCTAAGGCGATGCACTTGGTCTAATTTACCCCTTTTTCAGCAAATCCTGCAACTGTTCCTTTAACTCACTCATTTCTGCAGGTGCCATTCGATATGGTGCCTTTGAAATTGGTGTTGTTCTTGGGACCAACTCTATTGTGAAATCAATTGCCCTCTTGGGTGGCATTCCTAGAATTTTGTCAGGGAATACATCCAGAAACTCATTCTCCACTTCTATGTCCTTAAGCTTGGCTGCCTCTTCATGTTCTAAGTTCCTCACACTACAAAAATATACTGGGTGCCCCTTCTTAATATACTTTGCCAACTTCAACACAGATATGATCCTTGGGCACTTTGTTTCACCATGTTTTCAATATGTTACCAACTCATTCTCAGTTGTACTCATTTTTACTTTCTGCGATCGACAACTAATCTCTGCACTGTACTTACTCAACTAATCCATTCCCAAAATGGCATCGAAGTCACTTAACCCAAACTCGATGAGGTCAGACAGAAACACTTTTCCCTTGATTTCTAATGGTACATCCTTAAAAGTTTTGGTACACTGTACTACCCCTCCCGTAGGAATAACTATAGGTAAATCTATAACATCTACGGTTTTCAAACATTGTGATAGTTTTGAAACAATGGCCTTTGAAATAAAAGAAAAAGTTGCACCAGAATCAAACAAAACTTTGACAGGAGTAGAGTTAATAGAAAAGGTATCAGTGATAACATCCTTCGTGGAATCAGCCTCATGCCTACTTATCACATTCAGTTTTCCTAGAGCTCCACTCTTCGCCTGATTATTCCCATTGTTGTTGCTTTTCCTCCATTCTGCTATGCCCCCTTATACCCTGAATAGTTGTTGTTTCCTTAAAAGTTCCTTTGAACCCCTCCTTGATTATTTCCCTGCTTGTTTCGACTAAGATCTTTGGAGAAGCACTCATACTCCCTATGTCCCAACTTGTTGCATGCGGGATAAGTAACCAGATTTCCCTCACAGTCCTTACCAGGGTGGTCGTTCCTACACCTCTTGTAGTAGAAATTCCTTGGTCCTTTGTTATTTCCTTGGTTAGAGTTCCTAGCTCCACCATTAAAGTTTCGCCCACCTTGGCGATTGTTACCTTGGAAATTGTTGTTGTTGTGGAAGTTGTTGTTGTTGTTGTTATGGTGGTACTTCTGCTTCTTAAAATTCTTTTGGTTACCTTACGGGTTCCTAGAGTTTTGCCCCACCTCCTTTCTCTTTTCCTTCCCTTCCACCTCAGCTAACTCTTTCTTTTTCTTCAACTCCAAAGCATAAAGGTGTGCAGCTCTCCCATACACTTCATCCAAGGTTTCTAACTCTTGTCCACGCGGCTTTAGTTGTAAATCAGTAGTCAATCCACTCTCAAACTTCCTAGCCTTTGAATTTTCTGTAGCAACAGACTTTTTGGCAAATCGTGACAGCTCAATGAACTTGGTGTAATACTCAGTTACTGACATTTCTCCCATTGCTAAGTTAGCAAATTCCTCAGCCTTTTGTTTTTGTAAAAAGCTAGGATAAAACTTGTCCCTAACGTTCTCCTGAAACATAGTCCTATTAAACCGGGTAGCTCCTTAATTGTAGCCTCATTTTGTTGCCACCAAATGTCAGCTTCACCCCTGAGGTAATAGGTAGCACAACCCACTTTCGAATTCTCTGGGCACCCAACTGCCCCAAACAGTTTCTCAAATTCCCTTAACTAGTTTTCCAGCACTGTTGTATCAGGCTCTCCTTGATAGGTCGGTGGCTTGCTTTGTGCCACCTTCTTGAATAGCTCTCCCTGAACATCTCCATTGTTGGTCGAGTTTCTTGCTAACTGTTGGGCGACCATTGCCAACTGCCTCACAACCTCACTCAGCTCTCCTCCATCATTGTTGTTACCACTTCCTCCTGCCATCTTTCTTCGCCTGAATTACAACAAGGGGTCTTTATAAATTATGGTCATGGTTAGCTCTCAAGTTAGACACCCATCTAACCAACTTATACCCTTTATATATACACATTTAATTTTAAGCTAACAAATTGAGATTGCAAAATTACAATTTTCAGAATTTGCAGCTTGATCAACCAAATATTGATTGCTAACCAACCATACATTTAATAAAGCATCACAATAATATATAAAAATAATTCCCATAAATTCCAGAGTTAAGAAAATAAATACAATTTTATTGCTGAGTAAGAAAATGAATGGAAAACTGAAATGAAATGAGTTCGAATAACCTACGCAACTCAATAGGGTTATAGACTCTTGTGGACATATTACTTATTACTATATTGACAAAGGAATTACTTAAAACTACGGAAATGAAACTAAGAATCCTAAGAGAGAGATGAAACTACAAAAATCTAGTCCTTTCGAACATTGTTCTCTTGTCCTTCGATTGTTTGTAGCTTCCAGGATCGAATTCAGGGTCATCTTCCTCCTCCATTGGTTCAGGTGTCTCTGGATTTTATTCTACTTGGAGGAAATATTCATCTTCCACATCGTTAGATGAAATATCAATTATGATTCGAGTTAGGGGTGGATTTGGATTTGGAATTTCCATAATGGAACTATCAACAATATGGTTACTCTCATCCATCAGCTCTCCTTCCTCTTGCCTTTCATTTGTTCCTGCTTGATTACCCTGTGGTGGAGAAGAATTTCCTGATTGATTGCTAGTGGAAGGGGAATTATTCCCTGCTAGATTATCATAGTAGTAATTG